ATTATGCCACTTTAATCATATTGCTTCAAATTAGTTATTATTCTTTAACTTGACTATAAATTTAATTTTCATATATATATATATATATATATATATATATATATATGTATATGTATATATATTAGCCTTTCAAAATACGAAATATTTGTTTCCTTAATTATGCCACTTTAATCATATTGCTTCAAATTAGTTATTATTCTTTAACTTGACTATAAATAAAGATTGGAAATACTTTATGGATTATTTGTAATATTGGAAAGTATATATATTTATTATAAAAAAAATTAAATCAATATTTATGTTAGGAAATCATGAAAATCTTATACATGTATAGAAACTTGCTTTTATTGTTTGAAGTTTAACAAAAATAACTATGCTTGAACATGTAAACAGTAATTATATAGATATATTTTATACTTAAGATAATCCAATGAGAGAGTGACATTTGTCATCCTCAAATTGAGACGCTTGTCTTTTAGTATAATACATAGATGGATAGATGTCATCTTACACTATTAATTTTTTATTACACCATTTTTTTTAATTCTTTACTTATACTTCATCTTTCCTATACACTTCATCTCTTCATCTTCATCTTCATCTCTCCCCTTAAATTAAACCTTTTCCTATTCTCTCTTTAATTTTAGCCCTTCCATTTTCTTTTTAAGCCCTTTTTGGATTAAAGTTCCAAAATTTTAATTTCTTTAATCATGTTTTCGATTACATATTATACCCTATAATGACTTATTGATATTTCCTCACTTATCTCTCAATACAATTTTATATGAATAACCCGTGCATTGCATGGGCCATAAGACTAGTTATAGATAAGGCAAAAACTAACGAACGCCCCGAGAGCGTTGGATAATTAAGCTAAAACTAGAAAGGTTGCATTAATATTAACCTTAATTACACCAGTCGACGCGTGATTTTGTAATGCTTTCCCAAATTAATATCACTTTAAGTAGTATTTTAAATGTTTATCTAACGCCTCGGAGCGTTCGTTAGCAAGATCCTTTAAATAAATAAACTGGGGTAAAATCAAATTTAGGTATTTTAGATGTGGTTTATGTACAACTTTTCAATTATTTAACTGCTATGTGCATACACAATTGTGATTCTCGTGTTTTTTCTTACTCTCACTTTCTAACTTCTCGTGATATTTTGTCTTTTCAATTATACGCGTTTAATAGATGTGTTTTGTGGATACATTATTCACAATAAATCCTCAAATCTAATCCTATCATATTATGTAATCTTATCTAATTAATAAGAACTTTTAGCGATTCGATTCACACTGCACATCAAATCATCAAGATTATCAACACCTGTGATTTGATTATAATTTGTGTTTTATTGATAATTAAAAAATTTATTAGTCAGAGTTTTACATTAACAAATATGCTTGTCAAAATAAGACATTAAAAATAAAAAAAATCAAAGGGAGTATTTTGTATCTAACTTACGTGAGCAAATAATAGAATCAACAATGATCGGATAAAAATTAAATGGAAGCATAAGGCTATGTTGACTCACTTGATTTTTCCTACACTTATTTTTATTTTCGACAAGTCTTATTACGTGTGGCCAGTTGGCCACATTAATTTATAAGAGTGTTTTTTATTTATTTGTATGAAAAAACACATTAATCTATAAGAGTAACTCCTTATTCATAAAAGTAACCCAAATTCACTATAAGTAATCTCCATTTGTTCATTTGAGTGACCCATATTTTTTTTTGTTTTAACTAATGAAAGAATAAATTATGTTTATACTTTATATGATCTTAATTTATTAATTATTTTGTTTCATATATGATGAAGGACCCTGCTGAACCGAAAACCCTTACGAATCAACCCGGCTAGACAATTCGGGAGAGAGGGGTGAAGGTAATTGAATTCCACCTCCCAATTTGTCATTAGGGATTGAATTTCCAACCTCATGGTTGGAAGGTGATATCCTTTCCACTGTACAAACTGAAGGCCTATTCTCATACGTTGAAATTCAGTTCAGTTCAACTCCTAATTTCCTTCTCTTGTTATAAAATATTCATTTTACTTCAGTTCAGTTGAGTTCAGTCAATGAGAACAGGCCTGAGTTTGGTAAAATTTGAATTATTTTATATGAACATATATAATTTATTTTATATAAACCTGATTTCTTTTTTCTTTTGAAATAAAAGAAAATACGATGAAAGTTGTGCCTGGTAAAAAGCTTAAAGCTGAAACCTATCGTGTTAATTGGCTTTGCCTATATAATTGTATTAACTTATTTTATTAATTGATTGTATAAAGTATAATGGTAAATATATAGTTGATTGTTACTAAAAGTTGTTTAAGCACGAGAAATGACCAATAAGTTAATTATGGCCTGGGGTAGGTAATGAAAATAGAGTTTTAGATTAAATGGGCATAAGTTTACTTTAACCTTAAGATGTTGAGTAAGCTAAAGAAAAAGCCTATTAATGGGATGAGCTACTTGAATCAGCTCTCTACCACACTATCCAAAATAGCTTATTTGATAAAATTAATATTGGCCAAATAAGCTAATTCTGTCCAATAAGCTGATATGTTCCAAACACATCTGAAGTGTTACAAAACAAACCTACATTTATGAAGGCAAGTATTCATTTATTTAGCATAAAGAGATTTCACCTTAAAATATGAAGACAATAGGAGGGTCTCACTCATATTTGGAAAAAAACCTTTATAACACTTTATCTTCTAAACCCTAGGCTCTATTGTAAATTTTTAAAGAGGCTTTAATCGAATCTTAACAGTGGAACGAAAGCCTCAATCTTAAATTTTTTTTTTACTTGTTTATTTTTTAGCTGATAATAATGGTTCCTTGGCTGGGAGGGAACTTGCTCCCTAGAGAGAAAGAGTTTTGTCATTCAAAACACAAGGTTTTTTCAATCTCTTGGGAAACAAGGTTTTCTTTGCACTTGGAATTGTCTCAGGCTATGCAAAGCTACAATTGATGTTGCTTGCTCAGATTCAGATTTGAATTGAAATTGTCACATGTATTTACTTCCTCGGCTCCCAAAAGTGCGAAGCGACAATGGAATTTATAAAGGTGTATGAATCAATAATATGTCAAATTGTTATATTTTATGGATCAAGATATAATATGTTGAATTGTTATATTTTTATAGTTGGATTTGTAGTTCTTCCATAGTCGTTTAATCATGTTTGATTTTGTCAAACTTATTTTTTGTTGTTAATTGTCAATTATAAATATCGTACAAATCAATGAAAATTAGTATCTTTTGGTGTTGAAGCTATAATATAGAAAGCTAGAGTGGAAGAATAATGTAAACTTGTATTCAATTCAGTCCAAGTAAATCCAACTATAATAACAAGTCTTGTATAGCCCATATAGGCATGACAAACAAAGATATAACTAATTAAGGATGCATAACTCCATATTCACACGCCTAACGTAATGCACACCTGAGGTGTTGTTTGGTTTACATAAAAAATATATGAATTTAGAGTTATCAGAATTTGCAAAAATGAGTATAAGTTAATTGGTTGAATAAATTTGGTGAAATGGGGGGAACGAGAACTTTCTAAGAATTTTCAGTTCCCATAAGATATACTTGGTCCCCCTCTAGGTATTTAGGTAAGTTTACTTCCCTTCTTACGTACTAATCAAACAACTTTAAGAAATTCCCACGAATTTGATTATGGAATTTAATTCCTATATATTAAAAGTTCATGGGAATTTTCACTTTTTATATTAACCAAACGACCTCTAAGTAACGTAATAAGTCCATTTATTTCCACATATTTTGCAAAATATTCCCTCCATTGTTTTAAAGTGTCTTAATTTTCAAATGTGACCGTTTTTGTAAGTGTTCCATCTCCAAATTTAGAAATCCCACTCACATCATACATTATGGTCCTGTTCACTTCACCTTATTTTTGTTGAAATTCAATTATTTTTACTGAATTAAAATTAATTTTACTGAACTAAAATTATTTTTACTAATTATCTTTAATATTTCTTCTTTAACATTACTGATTTTTACTAAACTGAAATTATAACATATGTTATAAGAAAGGTGATTATTTTACCATCTAATCCAACTATCAACTATGTTATAAACATGAAAATAAATATATATAATTGATAATCACAAAGTATAATTAAAAAACATTATAAATATCATATACATATTATTATAAGAAATACCCCCTCTATGTTTTTTTAAGTGTTATAATAACCGAATCCAGCCGTGTTTTAATAAGTGTTTCACTTTCTTTTTTGGCAAAAAACTACATTAAAATTTTATATCTCTCTGCTCTCATGGTCTCCACCCAAACCCAGTACTACGGAGTACTTTTTATTATTATTATTATTATTATTATTATTATTATTATTATTATTGTTGTTATTATTATTATATATCTCCTCTCACATTCATTACTTTTCAATAAACTATTAACCCCACTATTTTTCTTTTACAATTTTTTAATACTTCAATTACCCAACTTACCTCTTATTTTATTTAAATTAAATTGCCTAAAATTATATACTGGTCAAACTATAACACTTAATAAAACACGAAGGGAGTAATCAATCAATAACTATATACTAAAAGACACACCAGCAATGACACGTGTCATGCTCTGGTGTGTTCTTAGTATTTTGTATTTTTTTTTATAATTTAGAAAATTTTATTTAAAGAACTTATTTAAAAGAAATTTTTTTTTGTCAACCAAATAAAGAAATAATAATATTTACCTTTCTTATGTTATTACCCAATTAAGTACGGATTAATAAGGAAATAAATAATCTCTGTACAGAAGTGTAATTATGATGGAATATAATTTATTCTACAAATATATTAACTTTTTATTTTGTATGCCATAAAGGCATAAATTAATTTATATAAAGAAAATATGGAGGGATTAAAATAACCGTGCATGACACGGGACCTAACCTAGTTTAATTAACAGCGCGGTGTAACACTCAAGCTATACACTACTTAAACACTTAAAAAAATATTCAAAGGGAGTACTTAGCAACCCAACAAACACGTTCCTCTTCTAAACAATACCAGAACAAAAGACGTTTCTCTGTTTGTCCTCGTTTTCACTTTATATCAGTTTCCAGTTGAAGCGCACTTTACGTTCTCAATTGAGGCGACTTCTGGTATTACTATCCTCCACTGAAGCAGCTTTAAAGGTCAGATTATCATTATTATTATTATTATTTTTTTTTTTTTTATTTTTTTTTTTTGTGGGTAATCATCGAATGTCATGTTCACAATCTAGGGTTTATCGTTAATTTTATTTTTCAGTTTAGTCAATTTAGGGTTCTTCAGTAGACCCATTTTGCTGCTAAATAAGAAAATTTTGTGACTTTTCGAGCCTAATTTGATATTTGAATCAAATTTGCCTTATATGTTAGGATGGAACTATGAAATTGGACCCTTTTTTCCTGAATCTATGTGAATTTTCAATCATATTTTTTTAATTGAATCAAATTTGATTGCTAATGTGTTGCAGAACTCTTTATCATTTAGGGAGAAACTCATATTCGTGGGTTAGGGTTTAAGCTTGATTTTGGTGACAGTTGGTGATAATTATTGAGAATTTATCTAATTTGGTAGGAGAAAGTAGCAATTTTGTTGTTGAGATTTGAGAAAGTGAAAGAATGTTGTCAATTGTTAATTAGCACCATGACAATTCAGTCATTTTCAATGTCATTGTAGTTATTCCTAAAGATACTTGAAATAATTTCCGTTGCAGTAAAGGTAAGGTTTGAGGTAGGAGCTAGCTTTCTTTTGTGAATAGTTGTCTATGTCATTCAAGATCAATAAAAAAAAAGTCGATGATGGCTTGTCAAATGATTTATGAAAATCAAGGGAGAATAGCGTCTATACTTAAAGCATGGGCATTGATTTTTCCGTCTTCTCTCCCTTTGCTTGCCAAGCTATCTACACCAAGTGTGCTCAACCTTCAGCCTTTTTATCTTGGGTAACATAAGGGTATGGAAAAGTAGGTTTTATCCAAACAGAGTCCACAGACGAATTCTGTGAACTGCCTTAGTTGAAATTCACAATTTCCTTGATAAACAAATCAGTGTGTCATATTGTGGAGAGGTTGCTGTGATCTTATTCTGCTGTCCTGATCTTATATAGTTGAAGCTCTTGGAGTAGTTGAACAAGTTTGGGCTCATCCATTGATTATGGGTCAAATTAGAGTTATCTTTGACCTATTCTTCCCATTTGCCGGGAGGGGGTAGGATTGATACAAAACAAAATCAAAGATTTATTCTCAAATAGATGGGGTTGGCTGCATTAACCAATAATCTATCTCTTGTTGTCGTCCAAGTTCTCTTATTCCATTTTCTTCTATTTGTTGTTTCCTTCCCTATGAGGAAAAGTGGATGATGGCTTGTCAACTACTATATGAAAGCCTAATTAAGGGACACTAGCATCTTTACTTAGTGCATGAGCATTAATTTTTCGCTCTTTTCTCCCTTTGCTTTCCATTTTTACAAGCTATCCACATTGAGTGTGCTCAAGCTTCAACCTTTTTAAGAGCTCTGTGCCTCTGTGAGGTCTGAAGCCTTGGGATTTTGCTATAAAATATAGATCTTGCACATTTTACTAGGGGTATGGAAAAGTAGCTTCTATACAAACTGCTGTCTTAGGTGAAATTCAGAACCTATCCACAATATGATACACATTGATCTAACTGCTAATATGATCTGAATTATTTGAAGCTCTTGGAGAGTAGTTTCACAAGCGGGGGTTCATCCTTTGATATTGGATCATATCACACAGCTTCTCACATTTTGTTGTCAAATCAATGTCATCTTCAACCTATTCATTAAGTAGGGGGATTGTGGGGTATGATTTAACAGCAAAATGAAAGCTTACTTCCCCAATCGATAGGGCTGGCTGCATGAACCTGTCATCCACATAAGTTCTCTTCCACCATTCCCTTCTATATATTGCTTTCTTCATGAGATTTTTTTAACTCTCTCCTTCTCGGTCATCTTGGGCCTCTCTCGGCTTCTTTTGATGCTTCCATTATCCCCTCATCTTCCTTATAGGAGTGATACCATCTATGCTTTTTTATTCAAAATAGTTTGTCAGGTATTGTCGTCATCGCTGAGGGTCTAAACTGTAAAGCCTACATCATTTAATCTCACCAGTATTTGTTTTGGAACTTGTACCCCTGTGTTTCAGTACTTTCTTTTTGACTTTCTCGTTTTGGAGGAGATCAATTCTTAGAGTAGATTATGGAAAATAAAAAAGTTAGTATTATTTTCTCTGAAAAAAAAAAATCTTTTCCCTTTCCTTATGCTGAGAACTGAATTAGAATGATGCCAGCTTACTGATTTCTGATTGGATTTTGATTGAGCATTTGAGCTGATGGAGAGGCTGTGTAGAAAGAGCGTGGTTATTTAAAAATTTGCTCAAGGTCAAGTCACATTCGAACAACTCCATCGAAGTTCATGTATGGACTTGAGCTCTAATTTTGCAGGGATGTTAAGCGTACTCCTCTTTAATAGTGATTTGGGGTCATTTGTGTTATAGAAAAGTTCTGTTGGGATAGCCTGCCCTCAGGCTCTTACTAGGAATCCTCAGTTTAATTGTCAAAATTTGAGGATGCCTTGGTATATTTGAGCGTAACCTTATGAAATACTCTCCTTCTCGTAATGTCAATTTAAATGTGAAAAGGGGTCTTTGAACTATGCATATTGTGCTATGTAGATAGATTTTCTTATTAGATGTTAGCTTATTACTCCATGCTTCTCTGCCAGAGCTTAGGAAAGACATAAGAGAAAAATGGTAATGGATAAACAAATGGAAATGTTTCTTCTGTTTCCTCAACTTTTTGCAGGCCGTAGCTGATTTGTATTTATATCCTAGTTCTATGCAACCTGCTAGATATTTGCTGCAATAATTTAAATTGTCTTCTGTTGGCTAAAAATGCTTTCCAGTCGCAAGCCTGTTATATCTTCACGCCTAATGGCTTTTTATATGCATCTTTTTAACATGTATGTTGCTACCAGCTTTTTCAATGCTGAAAGGAAGAAGGGTCGTTGGCAAGGGAGAGGCAATGGCTGCTCACTATGCTTTTGGTCCTCATGAAGACGACGCAATTATAAAGCACAGGCTTCTCACTCGCACAACCACAACAAGAGGTGAACCTCCATTGAAGAAGTTACAAAAGAAATTTACTGCCTTTGTCGTTGAGGTTGAGAAGAATGCAGATAATTACAATGATTGTGAGAGACTTGCGAAGACCTTTTTGCAGGAGCTTACCACTTTCGAGATCCCATTATTGAAAAGCAAAGCAGTTGTTGATGCAAATGTGAGGGAAAAAGAGCATTTCAACGAGTTGAATGATGAGATTAATAGCCAGATTCTTCAGGTTCATGCAGAAATAGAAAACCTAAAGAAAGAACTTGAAGCCAGCAAGATTGAGAGAAAGCACAAGGAGGAGTGTGAGATGATACGAAAACTAATTGCCACACAGCCCCCTAGGTCTGAAACAGAGAAGATGATAGCTGAACTTGAGAAAGAGATAGCTGCCTTGGAAGCAGAAGATATGGCTAGTACAAGGATGCTGGAACTTCGCAAGAAACAGTTTGCTCTGTTATTACAAGTGGTATGTTTTAAATCTGCTGTATTACCCTTTTTTTTCCCTTCGAGGGACTGCTATATTACTTGTTTTCCCTCAGTTGTGTCATTTATGTTGATAATGGATGTCAGTTCATCATAGTTATGTGGAGTTTGCTTAACAATTTAGGTAACTAACACCAGACAAAATTTTCAATACGCCCTTACTCCTTAGTGAACCAAACTAGAGTTGGGCTTAGGTAAAGGACTTTTTGCCCTTTGTATACGTTAAAGGGGATTATAGACGTTCTGCACCCTGTTAGTGCAATGCTGCAATGCAATTGATTGAAGAAGATTAGAAGGGATATAACATCTTATTGACTATTTGTATTTTGTTTAGGTGGATGAGTTGCAGGTAACAATTGAAGATGAACAGAGGAGTCTGGTGGAAGAGATGAAAAATCAGTCTGAAGAGCAGAAGGTTGGTCCACAAGATCCGAGCGGGAGTGCAGAAGCCATGAGCATTGATTAGCAATTTACTGTGTTTGGTAATCTGGGGCTTTACAAGTAATTATGTAATATTGTGATCGATATAATATCTTTATGGTCATGCTCTGAGTGGGCAAACCGTTCGTGCTTTTGCAGGATTAGGAATCATTTTGTACAATTTGAAAAGAGTGAATGCAATCTGCATTCTTTGCTGGATAACTAGGATCATTTAGGTTGTTAGACTCTAAAAGCATGCAAGCCATATTGATCTGGAATTCTGGAAAGGACTTCATTTGATCATTCGTAGCCAGAATGGCCATACGTCAGTGTGGTTCTTGCAGCTCCTGAAGTTACACAAAAGCCAGTGATGAAAGTATTCCACATGGATGCTTTACTGGACCATATTAAAATCAACTTACAACTTTTAGCCTCAAGATGTCATATGTGGCCAATATGGGAACTTGGGAAGGAAATTATTCTTGTATTTTCCCACATTTTATTATATGTATGTACCAAGTACTATGTAGGTTTGTTGCTTACAAATTAAAATCTTTATTTTGAGAACAAGCTATTCAATAGACCAATATTAGTAAAAACTTTAAAGAGAGATAAAATATTGAACAACTAGTTTTTGTTTTGTTTTAAAATTTTCATTTTTTGTGCCTCGTTTACTTTATGTTAACCAAATAACCAAAAAAGGATTTGAGTGGTTCTATTCTTAGAATTTTTTTTCCCATATAATAAAAAGGTGAAACTTTTACCATGAAAATATTGGAAACAAATATTTTTTTTTTTTACTAAACAAGTACTTATCAACTAAAAAATAATTTCTGATTTTTGTTTTTTCAGAAATATTTTTTTATAAAAATTGAATTTATATTATATGGCAGGATTAAAACAATTCTCTATGCAAGAACCTGTGTATCCTGAACATGAAATTTACAGGCAGTTTTTTTTTTTTTTTTTAGATTTATCACCCAATAATTAGAGTCAAATTTAAGATTAGAAATAGTTGGGGTGGTGAACTCCTTTACGGAGCTTCCAAAAATTGACGGGTAAGACCTGCCGAAAGTAGGGCAGGGAACTCACTCGCCTTAATAATTGTGTGTTCGTTAGGTGGTGTCGGCACGACCCGCCATCACTAGGCGTTCATCAACGAGTCGCCACGCACCCCTGACAGGACGGGTTAACCATTCCAAAAGAGTCGAGAATACAATTTAAATAAGTGCTCTGGTCTTCTACTCTTCTCAGTCTTCGATGTGGGATTGTTTCATTTTATTTTTCCTTTGATCTTTTACATCTTTATCACTCTAGCCACTTTCTTCAACAAATTTAATCTGTTTCAATTTACTTCAGCTCTAGCAGTTCGATGTTTTGGGCTATTGGGGTACTCCAGATGCAATTTCATATTTTGATGAAGGTAATTTTATCAGGCATAATTTCGATGTTCAAACCATATTACCATCAAAGTAATACTTCGTAATGTTTATTATTAAGGGAACTCACTCGCCTTATTACTCTAATATTTTTTTAATGAATGTCTGACTTATCTTTGCATTCTGAAGCTTTTGTTCTGTCTTGTGTAAAGGGAAGTAAAATATTGAATCTGCGAATTGCATAGGTTGGCAGCCACCTACACGAAGCTATCTTAAGCACAACACCGACTGTGCTTGGAAAAGCAGAGCCATTAAGTGTACTAACAAGTAACAACACTTACAACTTACAAACTAATGGAATTAAGATTGTCTTGTCCAAGTAAAAATGTTCATATCGAATTTTCGAGTTACTAGTAGAAAATTTTAACTTCTCAAAGGGGTCGCCATTACATTTGATATCGCATTGATTTCATAATTCACAAGTGAAAATTTGCATTCATTCTCAATCATTCAAACTATTATATATACTTTCCACCTGCTTTCTCCCCAAAAATGCCCTTTGAAGGTCAAAGCCAATGAATCGAATATCAACCGAAGCCATAGAAAGAAAGATGCACAAAGAAAGATAAGATGCACATAAGAGAATTTTGACATTCACAAGAATCACACATTTTACTGATCAACCACAGCACAATTGACACATACATTACAAAGCTGTGTGATTTTTTCCAAACTTTTGCCCTTTTTCGCCCACAATTATCTCTTTCTATTCAATGAATACAGCAGGTTAGGCTTTTTGAGTTATTCGGGTAAAGAGTGGAAAAAGAGGCAAACTGCTGAGATATCATCCATTGCTATCCCTCGTCGTTTTCGCTTCCATTCTCGGACTGCATGATCTACCAATTTCTTAGCAGCCTTGCCTCGATTAGGGCTTGACGATATAATTTGCACTGCCTCTTGATTAGAAACCACGTCCCATACCTGGTGCATAAAAGTGACATATTCATAAAAAGTATTAATTCATAGAGACAGAAAATTACATATATGTAAGGAATAAGTAGGATTTAAGCCTAACTTGTCCTGCACAATTATATGTTACGGAACCAGAACATACAGGAATCAACGGAATTACCATTTACCAACACAGACAAATTTAGTCAGCTCCGTGATTACTTGGCTAACTTTGTTACAGCTTAATATACTACGTGTTTGAAATGTATTTTAGAGCAAGTTTTTATAAAGTATACCCTCGAACAATAAAGAAAAACTTAAATCTAGCTAACAGATTTTTCTTCTAAGCATAGAACATTTAAAACAAGTTTAATAAAGCCACGACAAGTCGACAATAAGACCTACAAAATTCAGGTACAGAATTCTTTCCCCCCTTTTGATATCAATGAAGATGACTCATTCAGATTCTAAATGCTTATAAGAAAACTCCAAAAAAAAAAAAGGCTGTACAATTCCTAAAGTTTGAGAAGGGCAATTGGCTGACTAAAGTGATTGTATGATTCGTATCTATCTCTTAAGAAAGTCGTAAAGTTTATGAGTTACATACTTGCATATCAGACATAAAGCATGAGTCACTGTATTCAAGAGTTTGTTGATTCATTGCCCTTTCAAAGTTTAAATAATCCAGAGCACATGATTCCAATTTAATACTAGTACGAAGTATATCATCTAATTTGGACTAGTGTAGCTTACGTGTTAACTAATGCACCAATCAAGACATTAGAGAATTTATAAGACTTCACTACGGAAGCAAATAAATAATACTGTATTAGAAGCATATTATTATCTAATGTGCAAGTGGTGTATTAAATAAACTCAGAAAGTACATGCACATACCCCATCAGTAGCCAGCACAATGAACTGGTCTTTGCTGGTAATATTCCTTTGTGTTACTTCAGGCACAGATATAAGGCCAAAATCCTTGATGCAATAATCTCCAAAAGCTCTAGACATTGCTAGCCCGGGCACCTCCTCGTCAGGTAGCCACACCCTATGTACTCCAGGCTCATCATGTAAGCAGAATACTCGTCCATTACATTGCATTATTCGCTCAGCTTCCTCTGTTAGCAAATATCAGAGCATAAGAATCCAAAATTTATGACAGCATAAACAGGATGTGATGAAGATTTGACATGTAGTTAAAATTAACTACACTAAAGTTGCACTATGGCAGGAGGTCAGATATTATGGTGAACTCACGAGGCAAATTGGGCTTGAAATCGATAGTTAGCTGTACAGCTTCCAAGTCACCGTCATCTGAAGTAGTACCCAATACAGCACGAGAGTCTCCAACATTAGCAATGATAATTTTGTCACCCTGGCAAAGAGAAAAAATGTGAAAAACTAAAATCAGTATCCGTGATTAAAATAATTTTCGATCATAAAGTTTTTTCACACATTGACCACATTGTTATACTAGTTGAAGAATTTAAATGAGTCTTTGAAGTATAAGTTTCATAAAATTCCAGCCTATCACAGAATATCTGATCAGCAAGGTGCATTTCTTTCACAAAGATCAATTTGACTAGGAAAGCAGCATCCTGCTACATTTTTTAGCTCCTAGCCTTAACAGAGACAATATGTTCACAGACTAGATAGTCCAAAAAAATTAAGTGGAAGTCACTAACTAAAACAAGTTGCTATTAAACTGATCACCGGGTTTAACTTTCTTATTATATTCATGACAGAGAAGAATGTACGGGAGGTACCTAATCCAACACTAATTCTGTTTGTCAGTTCATGTCAATTCTATAAGCCATCACCATTATAAAAGAAACCTATGACAAAATGAACAAGCAATTTGTCCTCTAATGGTCACATATATGTATTAATATAATCATACAGATTTAATAAGTGTAATTAGTGGGAAAAGTACATAATCTGCCTCAGATTCCGCATGCTACAAAAAAGGCTGGTGAAGTCTAATCCCCCAAAGTCCACAAAAATGATGGGCATCATTAGCCAATCTACTAACTAAGCATTCCAAATCCAACGACACCCTCTTTAGCACATGGTTTTTAAATTTGATGGCTTGTTATGTATATTGAAGTAGATTATTCATAAAGTTATATGTCTGTAAACTTGTTATAACAGACAAGATTCTCATTAGATATACTGAAAGCGAAACCCACAATAGGTGAGAATTTGAGGCTGAGAAGAATTTGTTATGGGCCACAAATTGATGGTTTATCAAAAACTATAATATCCATTCATCATTCTCAGGAGTGATTAACTTTAACTCTCTAAGTAGGACCCTCCACTAAAATGATTTCCATAGCTTTTTCAAAGCAGGGACATGGCCTGGAAGAGATGATCCCAAGCAATGAAAATGATAGAACTGTGCACATGATATCTTCACACAACTACAGACTACAGGACCACAAACGAACTATAACCGTGGAAACCACAGGAGCTGACTCGTGTAGAAACGTGACTGCAAACATGCAAAAAGATCAAAACATGAAACGTTTTTCATCGGCTAAGGAGAGAGCGCAACCTAAGGTGAAAATTTTGAAGGCTGAAGCTCACATGAATGAGAATCAAACCCTTCCTTTGGACCCCGATGGAATTGGCTTACTGATATAGCCACTCTTGAATCTCAAGATTGAGCCACATCCTGTTTAACAGTTCATTGCAGAATTATTCATCACTTCTACCTTCTTACTCAGCTTAATCAGTGCTTGAACATAATTTACAAGCTTTAGGAAACAACTTTGAGAATTGGTCAAAGTTCAAAGTATGTAGTCTAAATCCCTTTCTATCATGTAAGCATCTAAGCCAAAAGAATATAATCAAACAAATCCAAGCTATCTTCCTTTTAACCATGTAAGCATCTAAAATAATAGATAAATGAAATAATGAATGCAAGCTATCTTTTATTTACGCTATGTAATCCATACTTGATTAGCTGATTACAGACAAACTAATCGTACAGTCTCAGCCATTAGAAGGTAGAAAGAAATAAAGTACCTGTTTCACAATTGAAAGGGCGGTTGTTCCACTATAGTATGCATCAATTCTTCTATGTTGCTCAAGTTCTTGATCAATAGTAGCACATGCCCTCAAATAGGACTGCTTCCAAATATTGAACCAATTCATCTTCTTCTCTACCTCCATATCAAAATCCGGATCAAGCACCATTTGAGCAAGAGCCTCTTGCCAATTGCATAATAACGATGGTGGCATCGATTCCCTCACAGTCTTCGCAACAAAATGACCCCAAGGACCATGGCCATCA